CACAAGAGCCTAGACAAGCAATGGAATTGAAGGCTTGCTGTCACGTGTGAGACAGTCTCGTCCTGAGTATAGAATCGTACCTACTATTTAAGCTAACCGAAACGGGAGGGACCATCATGTTGAACTTCCCCCCTCGTGTCACATTTTTTTAAGCCCTCAATGCCATCTGCTGTTGCAAGCCATGCTCTTCTTCGAAGAGCACAGCAGGTTCATCTCGGACACGAGATCTCACCACCCCTCTTAGATGCAGAGCTACAGAAGGTCCAAGCATGGCTGAAGGTTTGACAGGTTTAGGGTTTAGGGTTCCTCTGTAGAACTGCTTCTAGCGATTTGTATTCTGGGCAGTAGCTGCATAAAGACACGTGCTCTTGGACCTTCAGATGTGACAAGCGTGGATTTAGGGTTCTGCAGGAGCACTGCTTTGAGAGCGGCAGCTAAGACTTTTCGTTTGTGCAAGACTCAGGTCTAACTCTCTAAACGCTAAAGATTAAGCCCAGATTGACTCCATTAACCCCCTAGGTCCTGTACATCCCTACATAATCATCCCAAAATGTACAATCCCTATTTCATCCTTTTATAAGACGATATCACCCCATTAAGGTTGCGAAGACATGTGCATGCCAGCCATGCAAGAAGAACACAGGATGGCAACGGCACAAGCCAGTGAAATCTAGCGTCTTTTTTTTCAAGCAACTGCAATTCTCGGATCCCCTACATACCGCTTGAGAAATCGAATCATCACAGCCAGCTTCCTACATTCCATCACACCATGCAAGCCCCAAACGGCCCAGCGTGAAGCCTGCGCTCTCTCCTTTGAAGCTTCAACGAGTAGACTGCTCTTCACAGTAAATATACGGGTACATATAGACCCTAACATACTCTAGTCCGTATTGCCTCCTTCACAAAGGACCCTGTAACCCTAAACCCCGCCAAAATTTTTGGAGAATAAGCTACCAGACCATGAGCTCTTCTTTCCCAGGTGCTACTTAGGGCCGAGGCTTCCAACAAAAGATAGATATACAATCAAATAGCGTAAGCTTTCTTCTTAACACCTTGACAAACTTACTGGTGGTTGTCGGGAATAAGGGAATATAGTATATAGGGGATAGATAGGCGTTATATTCTGGTCACGCTGTGACTCGTAAAATGCACACCCTGCTTTGTAAACTAAAGCCCCTGATTCCTAAACCAAAACCACTGATTCGGAAACTAAAGCCCATGATTCATGAACTGCAAGCCGGGTTCGTAAACTGAACACCCTGATTCGGAAACTACAGCCCCTGACTCGTGAACTAAAATCCCTGCGATGCAAATAGATTATCACGCAGGCATGCAGTTTATGAAGCGGTGATTTGTAGTGTATGAAGCGTGGGTTTTGCAGTTCATGAATGGGACGGTTTTAGTCCATGAAGCGCGGATGTCAGTTTTTCAATCGGGGTGTTTAGTTTATGAGCCGGGGATTCTAATTCATGAAGCGGGGATTTTGGTTTATGAGCCGGGGTGTGTTCGTTACATACCAGTACTCCCGACTCACCACTAGTAAGAAAAGACATGCTGATGGCTTTTGTACATCCCCACTTTGTGCAGTTTGTCATTCACAAGGCTCCTTGCGCACGTCAAATGGAAAAGAAATCAGCAGACTCAGACCACTTCACATCGACTTCTGCCGCGTCCTCTTAAAGTTTCCGGGTCTGGCTAAACCTGGCCTAAACCCTTAAGCCTAAACCCTAAAGCCTAAACCCTGAAGCCTAAACCCTGAAGCCTAGACCCTAAAGCCGTAACTCTAAGGTTTCGGGTTTAAGGTCTGGGGTCTAGGGTTACCAGTATGGGCTATTCGACCGTAAAATTCCTATTAGGACCCTATTAAGGGTATTAAGGTACCTAGCCCATAGTGGTATACCCGTAAACCCTTCAGGGATATAGCCACAGGAGTAGAACCCAGAAAGCCTTCAGAGAACCATGATCTGGTTGTTCCAAATAAGAGCTATTGGGGGGTTTAAAGGTTTAGGGTTTAGGGTTTGAGGTTTAGGGTTTAAGGGTTTAGGGTTTAAAGGTTAGGGTTTATTACCATTACTTAAGGTTTCCGGGGGTCATTTTGAGCTTGAACTTGCAAAATTTTACAGTTTTAAAATCTTGAAATTAAGGAAATTAGGGTACCCTAAGTAATGGTAAGTTTATATGGGCTTGAGGGTTTAGGGTTTATGGCTTCGGATATCTGAGATTAAGCCAATTGGGTAACGTCGGGTTACTTTAACGTCAAACCCTAACTAGGCTCCCCAGCAACCCCTTAATAATCAGGGTACCCTTTTTCCAAATATTCAGTTTTCGTAAGGAGACCCCCGAATACGAAGGGAAAAGGGGTCAAACCCTAAACCCTGAACCCTAAACCCTAAACCCTGAACCTTAAACCCTCAAGACAGAAATAGAAATTGTATGCTTTCGCAAGCCGACATGCAAGTCTGTTAGCCCAAATTTCCATATAAAACAATAATTGCGCTGTTCCCAAATCCCTGTTCCGGCCAAAAGCAAGCGCTAAACATCCAG